CATAACTTTACATTTGCTGGTGTTAAACTCCAGTAGCCATTTCCCTGACCATCTCTGCAGCCTGTTTAAGTCCTCTTGGAGAATCCTACAATCCTCGTCTGTCACAACTCTTCTCATTAATTTTGCGTCATCCGCAAACATTGACATGTATGATTCCACTCCTGTAAACATATCATTTACGTAAATTAGAAAGAGGATTGGTCCCAGCACCGATCCTTGAGGTACTCCATTTGTTACTGTTCGCCAGTCCGACTTTTCGCCCCTTACCATTACCCTCTGGCTCCTTCCTGTTAGGTAGTTCTTCACCCATACTAGGGCCTTTCCGCTTACTCTTGCCTGCCTCTCAAGTTTGTAAAGCAGTCTCATGTGCGGTACCGTATCAAAGGCCTTTTGGCAGTCAAGAAATATGCAGTCTGCCCAGCCTTCTCTGTCCTGCCTTATCCTTGTTACTTTATCATAGAATTCTAAAAGGTTTGTTAGGCATGATTTCCCTGTCCAGAACCCATGTTGGTGCTTGTTTACAAACCCAATGCTCTCCAGGTGCTCAACAAGTCTTAGCCTAATTATTCTTTCAAGTATTTTGCAGGGGATGCTTGTCAGTGATACGGGTCTGTAGTTAAGTGCCCCCTCCCTATCACCTTTTTTGAAAATCGGTACGACATTTGCCTCCTTCCAGCAACTGGGCAATTCTCCCGACATAAGTGACTCATTAAAGATCATTGCCAGAGGCACGCTCAGAGCCTGCGCTGCCTCTTTAAGTATCCACGGTGATACTTTGTCTGGTCCAACAGCTTTATTTGCATCCAGTGTTGTCAACTGTTTCATTACATCCTCTGCTGTCACCTCTATATCTGATAGTCTTTCATCTTGGGTAATCTCTTCTAACAATGGGAGCTGCTCAGGCTCCGGTTGTGAACACTCCATGGAATTTTGCATTCAGTACCTCGCAGATTTCCTTGTCGCTTTCTGTATATGCCCCTTCTGTTTTCCTCAGTCTTGTCACTTGGTCATTTACCGACATCTTCCTTCTTATATGGCTATGTAGTAATTTGGTTGCTTTTTCGCTTTGACTGCAATATCATTCTCATAATTTCTTTCCGACACTCGTCTTATGTTAATGTAATCATTCCTAGCTCTGTTACATCTAATCCTGTTGTCCTCTGTCCTTTGTCTTCTGTACTTCCTCCACTCCCTCCTGCTTCTCACCTTTGCTTCCTGACACTGTCTATTAAACCATGGGTTATTATATTCCCTCCTGCTTTTTTCTTTTTTTATTGTTGGAATAAATCTCTCTTCAGCCTCCTTGCATTTCAATATGACTTGGTTCATCATACCTTGCACTGTTTTTCCTCTAAGTTCTTCCTCCCACTGCACTTCTCCCAGGTAGTCACTTATCCTTCTGTAGTCCCCTTTTCTGTAATCAAGTCTCCTTTCCCGGACCTCTTGTCCTTTGGTCACAATTTTAAGCTCCATCATGTAGTCAAAGACTAGGACACAAATGGTCACTAGCTCCTAGTGGTATTTCATGTTCCAACTACTCGATGTCTTCTACATTCTGAGTGAAAATGAGATCTAATAGGCTGGGCGTATCCCCTCCTCTTTCCCTAGTATCTTCTTTCACATGCTGTGTTAGGAAAATTCCTGTCAATAAACGTCTACCAGCTTCGCTCCCCAGGTCTCCTCCCCGCCATGGGGATTCCTCGTTTCCCAATCTATCTCTCTCCGTGATTTAGGTCCCCCATGACCAGCAGCTTCGCTCTCATTCTATGCGCTAAAGTTGCTGCCCTCTGCAGCATTCATCTATACATGTCTTGTTGCTGTCCTCGTACTCCTGCCTGGGCCTTCTACTGTTTGGTGGGGGATTGCAGAGTATCAAGATTACAATCTCTTCCCATCCACTGTCAGAGTTCCATGTATGAAGCTTGTGCTTTCATTGGTACCCGGATTTTCCAGCTCATCAAACTTCCATTTCCGCTTTATTAGTAGTGCCACTCCTCCTCCCTGTCTCTGTGTCCTTTCTTTTCTTATCACCTGGTACCCCCTCTGGAAAGATTGCATCCGAGATCATGCCATTTATTTTAGTTTCCACTATTGCCACTATGTCTGGGTCTGCCTCACTAACTCTTTCTTTTATCTCTTCTGCTTTATTGGCTACCCCATCAGCATTGGTGTACCAAACCTTGAGACTCTTCTTGGAAACTCGGGTGTCAGAGTTCCCCCTTTCACCAGGGGTCTGGGGGGAACTGGGGGGTGTCTGGGGGGGAAGTGGGGGCTGTGGGGGTGAGTGGGGGGGGTGCCTGGGAGTTCCTGGTAGGCGAATGGGGTCTGGGCATCTAGGGGGGTGGGAAGGGCATAATGGGTCTGAAAGTTAGGGGTCTGAATAGCATAGGGGGGTTGAGAAATGGAGTGAGACTGAGAGTCAGATAGAGGTTGAGAGGTTGGGGGGGAGAGGGACACTGAGGGCGGAGAGCTGAGATGAGAATGGAGCATGGGTGCTGGGAGTGGAAGAGAGGGTGTATTAGTTAGGGGGGAATCGGGGGTAGGTGGGGGTTTTGGGGGGGTAGAAGAGGGGAAGAGGGAGATGGGGGAAGGTGTTAGGGGGTCACAAGGTGAGGGGGTTAAATGTGGGCTGGAGGTGCATAGGAGGGGTGAGGGTTGGGTGGGGTTTGGGGGTGAGTGGAAGATGGGCGCAGTGGAAGCTGGGATGGAGTAGATGGAATTGAAGTCAATGGGGTAGAAGGGGCAGGGGAGTAGGAAGGGGTAGTTGGGGAGGGGGGATGGGAAGGTGGGTTTGGGGAGGGCATGGCTTGACCCACTGGGGTCGTTGACAGGTGTGATGTAGCAGGGGCAAGGGAATCGTTGGGGAGGTGCAAATGTGGAAGGGACAGGGGGGTTTTGGGAGGCTGAGGCAGGGGGGAAGGTATAGGAGGGCTGAGTTGGGGAGGATGCGACCTGGGAGGTGACCTGGGAGGTGGCCTGGGAGGTGACCTGGGATGTGACCTGGGAGGGTGAGACTACCTGAGAGGCTAGTTCGGTGTCGTTGTTGCCATCTATTCTTGTGGGCTATTTGCTCATCTTTCGTCATAAACCTCTCTATAAACACATTGTAATTGGTTTCACTTCCTCTGAGTAAATGCTTGGTCCTCATTATGTACTCCACAGCCTCCTCATTGGAGAATTGCACCAGAACAGGTCTATTCTTGGTACAATTGTAAGGTCCAACCCGGCGGCTGATATCCACCTCGTGTTCTGCCATTCCTGCTCCAATACACCTCAATATCTCGTGCAATTCGTATTTTTCCGTTTCTATTCTCTCTTGTCTCGTTGGTGCCCCAGATTCGAATAATCCATGTATTATAATAGACCGTCTCCTCAGTAATTCATTTCATGCTGGTAGCCTGTCCCCTGGGGATTCTCCATCCCAACCGTAGTCACTAACCCATCCCCCACTAATCCTCTGTCCTTAGCCATGCTGTTAATCCTTCCTAATTCGTTTGTGATACGAGCACATTCCCTCTCCCAGTCCTCTCTTCCCTTCCTAATTTCTTCCTGAATATAGTGCATAAGTTCTTGTTTCTGCCTCTCTACCGCATCCTGTATTTGCTGAAATACCTCACTTTTAATCCCCTGGATTAGATCCTCCAACCAATCACTCCTTCTCTCTACAAATTTCCCTATTAATTTGTCTATAAATCTGTCCTCCTCCTCATCCCTGCGTGATGACCTTGAAACCCTTCTAGTCATTGCAGTAACAATCTAGCCAAAAAAGGCGCTCCTCAATACCTTGCACAATCTGCAGCACAAACAGGCGAGAAAGTACTCCACGCGGCTGGTACAGCTGTGAGGTCACTGCGTCCCGCGTCACAGTGGTGAGGTCACTCCGGCGTCCACAATTTCGGCTCCACAATTTCACAATATTACACGATGTACTCGACACTTATTTGTCAGTGGTGGTGTTTGTACTGTTTGTCTTCACTTTCTTGTGGTTTGAGTGAGCTTACTAGTTATTCAATCACTCATATACACTCATATACGCGTATACACTGATTATTCCCCCCAATTCACTAGCTACGCAAGAGCTTCCCAGACCCTTCTGACCTCCGCGGCTTGTCTGACCTCAACTGTGTGTGTGTGTGTGTGTGGTGGTGTGGTGTGTGTGTGTGTGTGGGTTGTGTGTGTGTGTGTGTGTGTGTGTGTGTGTGTGTGTGTGTGTGTGTGTGTGTGTGTGTGTGTGTGCTAAAACTGCACTGAGTGAGAATGCGTGTACTAACCTAGTTAATATTACAATATTATTACAACTGTTCCTTTGTATTCTCATCACAGGATTCGATGATGTTTATTTGTTCGTGGGCGTCAGGGACGTCGAAAGTAATCTTTCGTGGAAGTGGTTGGATGGGCGCCCAGTCGACGCTGCAGACTTTTATCCTGGCGAGCCCAACAGTAACGATGGAAAGGTATGCGGAGCCTTTCGAATGCATTACGCCCCGATGCTCATTGATACCCTCTGCTCGTATTCGTTCCGATTTCTTTGTCAATATCATCCTACCAACTGAAGATGTTGAGGCGCCTCTCTATGAAAGGAAGAATTGGCTCGTTTAATCTTGTTTTATTTTAATGTTGTCACGTAATATAAAAGACAGGCATTTGCAAAATCCTGTTAGTTAACAGTCCGGAAAGAAACATTGTTATGTTTCAATCCATCACAAATTATGAGGTAGTTAGAGAGTGAAGAGCTTCTTATCAGACGAATTAGGGGGGTGAGAGTCTTGTAATAGTTAAGAGTCTTGAAACAGATGTGAAAATAGCATTAGCTGTGAGCTTTGCACTACCTGAAAGTCTTACACTATCACTGAATCTTACACTATCACTAAGTCGTTCACTATCACTGAATCTTACACTATCACTGAGTCTATCTATAACTGAGTCTTACACTATCACTGAGTCTTATACTATCACTGACACTTACACTATCACTGAATCTTACACTGTCACTGAATCTTACACTATCACTATATCTTACACTATCACCGAGTCATACACTCTCACTGAATCTTACACTATCACTATATCTTATACTATCACTGAGTCTTACACTCTCTGGCAGAATCTTACACTATCACTAAGTCTTACACTATCGCTAAGTCTTACACTATCACTGAGTCTTAAACTATCACTGAGTCTTACACTCTCACTGAGTCTTAAACTATCACTGAGTCTTACACTCTCACTGAGTCTTACACTATCACTGAGTCTTACACTATCACTAAGTCTTACACTATCACTGAGTCTTAAACTATCACTGAGTCTTACACTCTCACTGAGTCTTACACTATCACTGAGTCTTACACTATCACTAAGTCTTACACTATCACTGAGTCTTAAACTATCACTGAGTCTTACACTCTCACTGAGTCTTACACTCTCACTGAGTCTTACACTCTCACTGAGTCTTACACTCTCACTGAGTCTTACACTCTCACTGAGTCTTACACTATCACTGAGTCTTACACTATCACTGAGTCTTACACTATCACTAAATCTTACACTACGAATATTACACTGGCTGTGAGTGTTACACTGGCTGTGAGTGTTACACTGGCTGTGAGTGTTACACTGGCTGTGAGTGTTACACTGGCTGTGAGTGTTACACTGGCTGTGAGTGTTACACTGGCTGTGAGTGTTACACTGGCTGTAAGGTGGTGAAGGTGTCCTTGAGGACATAAGGCCTCTTTTCCAAGGAGCTGCACTCTGTGCTCTAAAATGAAGGATGGGGGAATCAGGTCCAATGCCGTTGGCAACACCCTCCGAAGCCTCATAGCTAAGGCAGCAGTGAGGTCAATCAGTCAGGAAGCAGCCACCTTATTGATACACAATCAGATCGGGTTTGGGATTCCCTAGGCTGTGAAGCTGCTACACATGCAACGCTGCCAATCTCTTCATTGCCAACCTCTCAGACCAGAAGGCACTAGTCAAACTTGACTTTAAAATTGCCTTCAATCAATTCAGAAGAGACGCTTTTATTTTGCTTTCGGTCTCTCCTGGATTTTTTGATTCTTGCAATCTTAGCTCATTCGTTTCAATTTCCCTACATAGCCTTCTTTGTCGTTCTAGGGATAGAGTTGAACATTCAACTGTATCCTAAGTTGAGTTGAACTTTTGCAGAAGATGTTCTGCAATTTGTTTACATCACCTGTAGAGGTGCTCCGTTCTCATTCCAGTTTGCATATTTTCTCTCTCTCCTTAGTGGTATTTGACTTGACCATATTTCTAGTGCTACTTTGCCTATTTTCTTAAGTCACTGGAATAAGTTCGCATTATCTAGCTCTTGGAGTTGTGCCTGTATTATCTGGCTCTTGGAGTTGTGCCTGTATTATCTGGCTCTTGGAGTTGTGCCTGTATTATCTGGCTCTTGGAGTTGTGCCTGTATTATCTGGCTCTTGGAGTTGTGCCTGTATTATCTGGCTCTTGGAGTTGTGCCTGTATTATCTGGCTCTTGGAGTTGTGCCTGAATTATCATGTTCTTGTAGTTGTGCCGCTGTAACCCACAGCTAAACTACAACCATGTCGCCTCAGAGGTTGTAGAAGGTTATAAACAGTAACGGAGGATGGACAAGATATTGATTGTTTGGGAAGATTTCGAGCGGATTTCTTGTTTAACTGTTTATAGATATGGCTTCTCTTTGATTGTTTGCTAATAAATTTATATAACCATGTTGTGATAGTTAATCATCCTACAAACATCAAGGCACATCAGATGCGGTGTTATCATAATGTATGATAATCAAGTATATTACTGGACTTTGTTTGAAATTTAAACTGTGCCTGAAATTGATATATTTACGTTCACATTTAATCGTTAATAATCACTGCTATTTGCCCTTAACATTCGTCTTAAAAATTAAACAGAGTAATTAAAAATTATTATGGATATAAAAGGAAATGGAATATTGTCATGCAATCTGCCAATTACATTTAACCGTCCCTTCCTGTCAAAGCCTCATAGCGGCGGAATGATGTCAGCGTCGTCGTGTAGCAGAGAGTAGTGTGCCAACTCCGCCTCTTGATCCACACCACTTCTTCACAAGATGAGATGTAACACACACAAGGAACAACATATTCAAGCTCATCAAGCCACAATGTAAGACAGTAAACAAAGAGATGGTTTTCCACCCTTAGAGTTATACACCCATGGAACCGTCTTCCAGCCGATGCCACAAACGTTAAAACACTGACGAATTGTATGATCCAGCTAGCAAAAATCATTAGGACAAATGGGGGAAGGGGAACCATTGACAAGGTGTCAGCTTCCGGTCCCCGTCGTGGCCACTATTGTGTTAGTGGGCCTCAGGGAAATCAGGTATAGCTTTCACACAAATATCGAAGCATTTTCTTCTACGTTGGTGAAACAATCGATGATGTAATATGTATTAATTGTTTGCCCATTAGAGTTGTAAATGTTTTACGAAGCATATAACTTTTGTGTTTAACATTTATCATACGAAAGTGGATGTTGAGTATATAATATTCTTCAAATGGCAATGAATTACATGTGTAATATGACTGGACATATCCCTTATTTGTAGTGTGTCTGTCTGTGTTCCCATCTGTCTCTCTCTCTGTTTTTCTTTTGTAATTATTTGGTCAACTATACATACTGATTATTGGGGTCTAATTAGGTCTTAATATCATCATTCGTACAAAGTATATAAACTATATTACCAGATGTAAATAACTGCAAACCACTCTTAACTGGAAATTTTATGTGTGTTGACTGAGGAGCGACTACGGTCGGCCCTTGTGTTTTTTTACAAATTGAGGGGCTCTTCAAACGTGAAATCAACTAGGGTCTCCTAACAAGAACAATGAGTCTTCGTCGTATGTTGTAAAACAAGCACAAGTATTGAACTCCTGCGAGAGCGAGGCAGCTACCCGTCACGAGTAGGCAACTCCATGATGTACCATATTAGGATGTGGTAATTGTCAACACTGGCCCCACACACACACACACACACACACACAGGGGGTGGACGTAACACCTAATCTATCTCCTGAGGCACATATTAATAGGATAACGACAGCAGCGTACTCTACACTGGCAAAAGTTAGAACATCATTCAGAAACCTAAGTAAGGAGGCATTTAGGGCGCTTTACACTGCCTACGTAAGGCCAGTCTTAGAGTAAGCCGCCTCATCATGGAGTCCCCATCTGAAGAAGCATATAATGAAACTGGAAAAGGTTCAGAGGTTTGCAACGAGACTCGTCCCAGAGCTACGAGGGATGGGGTATGAGGAGCGCCTGAGGGAACTGTGCCTTACGACACTAGAAAGAAGAAGGGAGAGGGGGACATGATAGGAACGTATAAGATACTCAGAGGGATTCACAGAGTGGACATAGACGAAATGTTCACACGGAATAGTAACAGAACGAGAGGACATGGATGGAAGCTTGAAACTCAGATGAGTCACAGAGATGTTAGGAAGTTTTCTTTTAGCGTGAGAGTAGTGGGGAAATGGAATGCACTTCAGGAACAGGTTGTGGAAGCAAATACTATTCATAATTTTAAAACCAGGTATGATAGGGAAATGGGACAGGAGTCATTGCTGTAAACAACCGATGCTCGAAAGGGGGGATCCAAGAGTCAATGCTCGATCCTGCAGACACAACTAGGTGAGTACAACTAGGTGAGTACACACACACGCCTGTAGTCTGATGTTCACACTGTTGTAAGCTTCCCTGATATCCTTGGTTTCCTGCAATTTATTTAAAACCTCCACTCTCCGAAACTCTCCCACAATATAATCAGGCTAGTTAGAAAGTATAGAACCGGTAAGGTAAACTAAACTCCACCCCAAGCGACCTTGGGGTGGAGTTTGTTCAGATTTTCAATACATTTTACTAGAAAATTATATATATATATATATATATATATATATATATATATATATATATATATATATATATATATATATATATATATATATATATATATATATATATATATAATGTCGTACCTAGTAGCCAGAACGCACTTCTCAGCCTACTATGCAAGGCCGAATTTGCCTAATAAGCCAAGTTTTCCTGAAATAATATATTTTCTCTAAATTTTTTCGTATGAAATGATAAAGTTACCCATTTCATTATGTATGAGGTCAATTTTTTTTTATTGCAGTTAAAATTAACGTAGATATATGACCGAACCTAACCAACCCTACCTAACCTAACCTAACCTATCTTTATAGGTTAGGTTAGGTTATGTAGCCGAAAAAGTTAGGTTAGGTTAGGTTAGGTAGGTTAGGTAGTCGAAAAACAATTAATTCATGAAAACTTGGCTTATTAGGCAAATCGGGCCTTGCATAGTAGGCTGAGAAGTGCATTCTGGCACATATATATATATATATATATATAGACACATATATATAATATATATATATATATATATATATATATATATATATATATATATATATATATATATATATTATATATATATATATATATTTCTCTTTAGTGAACATGAAATCAGATCATGTGAAGGTGTTCAGCAAGGGGATCCTCTTGCTCCCCTTCTTTTCTGCTTAGTCTTAAAAGAAATCACCGAAAGCTTTGTCCAGCGAGTTATCTGGTTTTTGGATGATGGCACTATAGCTGGCACCATAGACCACCTCTTGTCAGATATCAGGAAAATAAGGGAGCAAGAAGTAAGCCTGGGTCTCGTCCTGAACCCTTCCTAGTGTGAAGTAGTCTCCTCTGACCCAGACATCGTAGCTAGAATAAGGTCCCAGCAAACAATTTTAGGTTGCCACAACATATCTGGAAAGAATTTGAAAGTATTGGAAACGTTTGTTTTATCGTATCAGATACGATATTGTGTGTGGACTTAAATAGGTTTCCAAAACTTATAACCAAGACATATGTATCTAACACTAATTTGAGATGTTGTGGCAACTTACACTCCTAACATGAGTCATTCATAATCCATTCATACACCAATATGAATCT